ATTGTTGTTCATTCATTGAGAGCAATGGAAAACATGAATAGTTTTTCTTTTCTGTTTTGTACACAAGGCTTTTCTCTGTCTAAACGAAATTGTTCGGAGTTAATGACTGTCCTCCAGAATTCTAGTCTCAGAGCTTCCTAAAAACGTATTGATGGCAGACTTATACACTCCTCAGAGATTAGTGTTAGTTGTAAATGAAGAAAATCAACAAATAGAATAAAAAAGCTAGAAGTTGACGCCATGATATTTTTTTAGGGTTTCGACTCATATTCTTGAAAGCATGTTTCAAGGAAAGTCGACGACTGCAAAAAAGTTGGATCAGTCAAGTACGTCAGATGTAAATTTGTCTTCAATTGATGATTACACATAAATGATGTAAAATAAATTTTGATCTTCTCGAACAATATTCTTTTCTGTAATATTCCAAAAGTAACAGACATTGATATTTGTAGTCTACATACTAGTTATCTAAATTTATTCTATCATAAAATTTCAGTTGTCTACTTATTGTCGGTATGAAGATATAAGTCAAGTAAAATTTACAAAAATATTTTGAATTAATTCTAGAAATAGTGGTTGACCATAAAAATTATTGTGTTATTTAGTATTTTCAAATTTTCTTCTATTTTATCCACTTGCTCTACATAGATACATTCAACAAAAAGGCTCAGCGTGAAATCTTCTACAAATCAATATATAAATTGGTTTGAAACTTGTTTCAAATATAGTAAAAAACATGATGAAAAGCAAAAATATTCAAACAGCTGTCAAAAATAAGTATACATGTCAAGATGGAACAATCAAAAGCTGATATGTACTATGCTGTGAAGAGATCGATTTTACTAACTATGTTTTTTTCCATGAATGAATTGTAATTAATAAAATAATTTCATCTAAATCTCGAAATATATTTACTGTTTCATCTTCATATGGTTGCTTATTTTTGACAGTCGTTTGAATGTTTTATTTTTGATCATTTTTTCTAGTATATTTAAAACTAGTTTCAAACCAAATTATATATGGATTTGTAGAGGATTTCATGCTGAATCTTTTTGTTTTGAAATATCTATGTTGAACAACTGGACAAAGGAGAAGAAAATTTGAAAATACTAACACTGTAATTTTTACGATCAACCACTATTTCTAGAAATATTTCAAGATTCGTTTTATAAATTTCACTTGTATCATCATAACTATAATAGATAGACAGCCGAAGTTCTGGGATAGAATAGGTCTAGACATCTAGTATATATACTGCAAATATCAATCTCTTTTACTCTTGAAACATGTCAAAGAAGAATATTATTCGATAGAATCAAAATTTATTTTACACTTGTTATCATTCTCCCTACCTGTACAGAGAGTAGTCAAGAGTAATAAACACTGCATCGTTGATGTGAATATACATTATAGAAAGGGAATGAATGTTAAATTAATGCACATGGTGATGTATAATTGCTTCTTTTATTTTCTTGTGCGCAGTCACGCATTAATAAACAGTGATAGAATCAATGCGAAGCACGTTTTATTGTAATGCGCCTCTATCTCTCTTTTAATTTGTATTTTGGGTGGCCTCGTAGTGTTTGTTATACTTGAGTAGCAGTAATTTGCTGATATGTATTGCATTTCAAGAGTTTTCACAGTGCTTACCAATGTTATTCATGCGACTCTAGTGCATCATTGTATCATGTACACGTCCGAAAATTAGAAAAATTATTTAGGTCCAGATTTTGTTATCAATAGTTGAATCATGAAGAGTGTGGATGTGGGTGTTAAACTTATATTCTTCTAGACCAACCCACCCACATCCACACTCTACCCTAAAACTTGGTCATTTCTATCCTTTGTATGTTTTATTGCTGTAATGCTCTTATATGAGTTCCACACTTTCACACCATTGGAACTGTGCTGCTCAAAATGATATAAGTCTCTTAAATTTAGCAAATTTACAGGAAAAATTGAAAACGTATTGTCTAATTGAGAAACTTTCAAAATAATTCGTCTGTAGAATAATACTTATAACCATTTTGTTAGTCGTGTTTAAACAGAATAATCAAGTTATTCAATTATACGATTCACATATCATCTATATCGAGTTTGTGTTTGAACATTACAAGCTTACAATAAATACATTTAGAGAAGAAATAAAGAAATAATTCATAAAGGTAACAGTTTTATGAAACAATACATCGAATAGCAATTGTAGTTCATCTTATTGCTTCTTCACGTTGTTATTTTAGACTAAACTGGTAGGTTCAATTGCGCACTCATTCATTAATTGAACAGCTACAAGATGATTTGGAACTTCTCCAAATTCATAGAGCTTATTACTATTTTCAAAACACATCTGATTTTCAAATTCCTCAAGACTTAAAAGATCTTCATTATACTCAAAACAAAGTTGGAATAGTTTCGTTTTCGACAAATCAAAATATAGCAGTCAAGATCGACTTCCATTACATTTCATCTTTGTTATAGAATAGCAAAACAACATTCCATGAAATACTTTTAATTGATAATAGAACTATATTCAATTGTTTCCATGCGTAACTTTGTCCAACGAGTTGTATGACCGTTTTCGATGATTTAATCTGCATTATTTTTTTTTCTGACTTAGAACTATCTCATTCGGTATAGTTACTTGTTTTCTTTCGTCTACAAGCAAAATGAACACTCATGAATAATCACACTTAAATGCTTTTACTCCTTTCACAAGAAACATGAAAATTGTCAATATTGAAACAGATTTCTGTTTGGATATACAAGATCAAAGATTAACATGTGTTGTAGAATGTCAACTAGAGACATAAGAATGCTTAGTATATGAACAATGATTAAGCACACAGGAAGGTTTGATATGAATGTGGATGCTAGTCCACTGTTCACTTGCACTCACACGCATGCCCTTCTAACCGTCAATCTCAAATGCTGAATTTGAATAACGGTGAACACAAGTAATCAGTTTGTTATATGGAAACTATAAGGTGAGGGATCGAAACAAAAGAATAGTCAAGAGAGAATTATGGATACACTAGTTTTACACGGAGCAGCTATGCTCAAGCTTTTTCATAAAGAAATCCTTGTGTTACATGCTCGATCAAAACGATGATGACATGACTCTTTTTTTGTGATCGTTTCTTGCCCAACATTGAGTCAGATAGAGGAAAGAAAAAAAAACAGAAGGGTTTCTTATGTAAAT